TTACCATACACCTGTACTTCACACAGTTCTAGGAGGGCGTCTTTGTCGTCGTACCAATTCTGCCTCTTAGGTGATTCTCTTTGGTTGTATATAGTCACATACTGCGCTGTTCCATTACATTCTGGGTGGTTAACAAGACTTATAATTTGGTTGACACTCTCTGATTTATCAATGAAACATCGCTCTCCTGTAAGTCTATCGGTTGTATTTGAAAGGTACACCTCGTAGCCGGCGAATCGATTTTTCCATCCAGCTACAATGATGTAAATCAAATGATTTCTTTTCATAAAACAGGACAAGACTTCAGCTTAATCAATGTTTTAATACACACATATCTATTATAGTATTATCTAGTTATATTGAAATCGAGAAGTTGATCATTTTAAAAACGCTGTTTAAAACAAATCTTAACTAGACAACATAATTACAAAATCAATAGGATCATATGCGGGACGTCACTGATTTTAAGTGCATTTATCATTGACCGTGTTTTTAACGATTTACCCATAGACAATGTATTTGGAGTAAGACAAAGAAAACGAATCATTAAACCAAGGTAAATTGTGTACATATCCTTTCCTACTACTTCATTGTTATAATACACATTGCCATGATAAACATACTTACTCCATGGGGAACCTTCATCTCTGTAATATATTTCCACCTTGTCTATGGTGACTTCTCTCTCTAGGTCCACTCTCCACCATACTTCTTTTCGTCCTACGGCCTGGTGCGCACATGAATTCTTGCCTAGTCCTTGATTTGTGTTACCATCCACGGCATTTCCAGATAAATGTAAAACCGTTCCTTCGAATTTATAAGTACTGCTTTGGTTTGTTGGTTTTTTTCGAGAGACAATTTCTGAAACAAACAATAGTATCCAGTGATAAGTAAGCATAAATCAGACATAGCCATAACAAAGGTCTTTCGTAACAAGTGTGACATTTGGTCAATATAATATGTATATAATATGAGATCATTTTTTCACAAATATAATAGACAGAAGACGGACAACATAACCGATAACATATCAACTGTGATGACTTGTCTTCAAGGAGAAGGCTTGTATATGTTTTGCCTGTTGTCCAAATTCCTTAGAATTATATTAATTAAAAATAAAATATTTTGAAATAAACAATCATTTGGCATATAATGCAGTTACCATCAGTTGCCAATTTAATCAAAGTTGATGCGTTCGACACGCATGAGGATAACGATGTTGTTACCCACGACGAAAATATATAATGGTTCTTTTCACGATACTGATTATTTTACCTGTTATTGTGTGAATGTGTATTGAAAAGGGATTACTATTATAGTGAACCGTTATATGTGTACGTGTTCAGAGAAAATGAATCCAATAGTTTGTAAAATTCACAGAAAAAGGAACTCGCCTTATTTGGGTTTTGTGAAATGAAATCTAACAATGAAAAACTCTAAATCTTTATTATTTGACATAGGATCTATCTTAACTACACGTCCGAGTTCGTTCTAAAAAATTAACATCATCGAAAGCAGGAAACGTTTCTCAGATAACATGGTGTTGCTGCGTCATCTTTCGTGATATCATCGTAAATACACATTATCACTAACGATGACCTTTGACCATTCACTTTAATAAACAAAAAAGTTTGCCAATGTTACAATTATAGTCTTGTATCTAAACTTTAAGGAAATGTATTTCTCTCATTTCCCTGTTTGTAAGACAGAGCTGTCCAGGGTGAGAAAGGGGTGAAGAAAATGTCTGTCTCTTACCCTGGACAGGGATATCCACCATTTTACCGGTGTGAGATTTTTTTTTATCTCACCCTAGGGTTGAGACAAGCTACACGTGTTCTTTGCACGTTCTCAAAAATTGTATGACGTCATAGCAACAATACCATAACGTCACGTCGACAATTCAGCCGCATCACATCAACATTGTCTTGCATTGATGTAACGTCTATATAAAATACATAAGAGGGTAAACAGGGTAAGAGAAAAAATAATCATTCAACCCCTTGGGAGTGAGACAGGGTGATCTCAACCCTCGGGGTAAGATTCTTAAGCTGTCAAACACTCGGTAAGCATCGTGTTTGACAATTTAAGAATCTTACCCATCGGGTTGATATTAATAGAATCTATCGCTACTGGTTGTGTAAGATAGAAAAATCTCAACCCTCGGACTAAGATTTTTTAATCTTAGTCCCAGGGGTGAGATTTCTCTATCTTACACAACCAGTTGCGATTGATTATTTTTCTCACATATCTAACAGTATCTTAATGTGAAATAAAGGTAAACATGGACCCAAAACATATACAGGCAATTTGTTGATGGATTGTTGACGTGACGTCATTATATTGTTGAAGTGACGTCATGCCATTGTTATGAATAGGGAAATCCCCCCGTCTCAACCCTGGGGCGGAGACAGATAAATCTAGCACCGGCAAAACGGGAGATAAATCTGTCAGGTGTGGGAGAATACCCTGTCTCACCCGCAAGGGGCGAAAGATTTTATTAATCTTCCACCCCATTTCACGTGACGTGACGTCACAATGGCTCAACAATGACGTCACGTCACGAATTTGGAAAACTCCGATGCAGCAATGCGGAAAAGACGACGTGATGAAATTAAAACCTTTTACGATATATTTACCGTCCACTTAAGAAAGCCTCGGGTTTTAACAAATTTGAAAACCCCTCGGGTGGAATTTTCCTATCCTACACCCCTATGCACGAGAGAGCCTTTTGTATACACATGTACTGATTGCATTGACAGATTTTCCATGGAACGAAACCTCTAGGAAGTAATATATGCTCCGAAAATTTGACAACCTCATTAAGTCTAGACTGTTGGAATTACTTCATTGCCCCATACAGATGTACTAAATGAATTATGACCTCATTAGCAGCAGTACGTAGATGTAGATCTGTAAATCTTTAGCGATTTTCTTACATGTATCTATCTTTATACGTTTTACACATAGCTACACCTAAATTATGACATCATAAATAATATGGAAAATGTATATTGTGACGTCATAGCTATGTGTAATGCGTCTGACGATTACTCTGATTTTGTTTTACTTCATATACTTTATGTAAGCAATGTAAACAGAAAGAGGACATTTAATCCGTTCAATACCATATTTATTTTAGAAGTATGCAGAATATGGATTTTCTTTATGAGTGTGAAGTAGCGATGTAACTGCGTATTCTTTGGCGCAAAAATTATAATGACGTCACACTTGACAACAAGGCTGCAACGCATTCTACCATTTTCTGCAATCGTTTAGTAGGATAGGCTTTCATAAACAGTGCCATTTTGTAGGTAAATTAATACCTTAATGGTATATAACAGAAATGAAACAAAGCAACCAGCTACTCTACCGTTGCTTAATCTGTATCAGTACACATAATGTGCGGCTTTGAATGATTACCTCCCCTTTACTAGTGTTTATACTAAGTGGTCCATTTGACTAATCTGTATGATCCGTTAATACGTTTGTATATTGATTAAATAATTATGTCATAGGTAAATCGCAAGCTAAGTTCTACTGCACTATCGACTGAAAGTTTGATGACGAAGGCTATATATCTATATATATATAGAAAAAATAAAATGAACCACCGACTAAAAAACTAGCTGCTTTCACCCTTCACAGGGCTCTTCAGGTTTATTCAAAAGAACAACGTCGTGACGTCACAATTACATGTCATCACACTACAATAGTAACGTGACGTCACGAAGTATACAAGATTGGTGGACAATTTGGCGTAAAATTTTATTGTGGCCTGTTGAGACTCGGTTTTAATATTTTTATTAGTTGGTCTTCTTTCGTTTCTCTTAAAATAGTGTCTGATGAAAATAGTTGATACAAAGGTAATACATTAAATTTATCTCCAGCACATTCATGAATATGTTTGTTAACATGAAGATTTCGTAAAGAATCAGTTCTAGTTTGTTGTCTATGTACAGTCATACGTGTTCTGAGTTCATTACCGGTTTGACCGATGTAAAAATCACCACATTTAGAACAAACGATTGCATAAATTACATTTTTTGATTTACAATTCATATTTACCTTCACAGTAAATTTCAAACCATTCTTGAAAATAAAAGTATTACACTCGATAATCATAGGACATGTAGCACATCTTGGTGTCTTACATTTGGATACTTTTGGTGTTACACAAGAATTATCAAACTTAGAACATGTCAACATACGTTTCAAGTTTTTAGGTTGGCGTCTACAGTGTAAAATAGCATGTTTATTAAAAATGTTTCTCATACGCCTGCTACTTTGCTTTAACTCTTCACATTTGTTCTTTATCACAGGAAACATATTACAATTCCGTGGATTGAAAGTAGAAACAAAAGGAACTAACTTTGATTCATCCTTTAGTTTTTGTAGACGGGAAGTAAAGGGTCCCTTTTCAATAGCTTTCTGTATACCATGTTCTATTATCTCAGTAGGATAACATTGAGCTTTAAGGTATTGCTTTAGTTGACTTAGTCTAGCAATTTGAGCTTGTTGGTCACTGACGATAGTGACAATCCGTGAGGCAAGATTAAATGGAATATTAACTTTAGTGTGTTTACTGTGGTTAGAGTAAAAATTTAGATAATTATGTGCATCTGTAGCTTTACAATATAAATCCGTTGTAATCTTATTTGAATCTAGTTGAACTAAAACATCTAAGAAAGGTAAAGACGTTTCGCTACACTCCATCGTATAACAAATAGAAGGATGTAAAGAATTCAATAGGTTTTGAAATTCATTTAAATCCTTATCAGAAGGCCATATAACAAAACAATCGTCAAGGAACCTTAAAAAATTATTTCTGATAAATTCAGTAAAGTTTTCCCCAAACTTTGTCTCAATCTTAGAATAAAGTGTTTCCTCTAAGTATCCTAAAACTAAGGTTGCATATGTAGGGGCAACTTTAGTTCCCATCGCTGTACCCTTAATCTGTTGAAAGTATTCTTGCTCAAAATAAAAAGAATTACGATTGAGGACAATGTCTAGAGCTTGCAGTATAAATTCATTACTAAAACGAGAATTAACTTTTTCTCGTTTTTTGATCAACCAATATTTAACAGCTTCAATACCAAGATCATGCGGTATATTAGTGTATAAACTAACAACATCAAAAGAAACAAGTTTAGCATTATGTGGGACCTGTTTAGATAAACGGCTCAGAAAATCAAAATCATCTTTGATATAACTGTTTACACTTGTGCATAAAGGTTTAAGAATGAGGTCTACAAGATGACTCAAACGTTGCGTTGCACTATTAGGGCCGCCTACTATGGGTCTAAACTTCAAATCCGTAGGATTTTCAACTTCAATATATGTACAGTTTTGTTCTTCTATAGCTTTACTTATAATAGAGCTTTTGTGGATTTTAGGCAAACCATAGAAATAACTAGTTTTATGCATAAAATTGACAAGATAATCTATCTCCTTTTCATGTAGGCATGCTTCATGTGTCCGTGTTAGCTCGTTGATTAATCTACGGGTTTCCGCATCGAAATCGTCACTTGCCGAAGCATAAAATTCAACATTACTAAGCATGTTATGTATGCATTCATAATAGAAATCTCTATTCATGACCACTACTGCATTACCTTTATCAGCCTCTTTGATAATAATAGAGGTATCATTTCTTAAAGAATCCAAAGCACATTTCTGTCTGTAAGACAGATTACTTTTTACGTGTTTATGATTATCATTATGTAAAGGAATCTTTTTTAAACTATCAATGACGTCTTCTAAATGTTTGTCCGAACTTCTTGGTGGGTTCCATTGCGAATTGTTATGGACTAACGCCGTTGTTTCCAACGGTTTGCTTTCACCGTCTTCGTCACAAAACTTATCGCATAGACGAAGTCTTCTGCAGAATTTCAGAATGTCCGCCTGAAGTTCTTCATTATCGTTTTTATCTGGTGTTGGACAAAATTTAAGACCCTTCGATAGCAAATCAATTTCATCTTTTGTTAATTTTCTTTTAGATAAATTAATTACCTTAGGGATAACTCCCTCTACCATATTTGTTTTAATTTTGTCGCTTGGGTGTCGTAGCTCCTTCTTTTTGTTCCTCCGCCTTTGTTTACAGTTGGACAATGTATATATGGGGCAAAGAAGTAATTCCAACAGTGTGGACAAGTTAAGGTTGTCAAATTTTCGGAGCGATCCGCTCCTTTGTCAAGACGCAGTGAAACAGAACAGTTACATGTACATATACATCATACTACAAGATGATATAACTGATATACTATAACCAATAGTCCCCTCGGCTAAAGACAGCCGAAGGCAGCAATTAATTTGAGAGCATCGCGGACAAGGAACGCTGATGTAGAGGACCTATTCTTGCGCAAGATGCACTACATGTATCACATAAAGCGAGTCAACGGAAGATAAGCACCAGAAAGAAGGGACGAGATATCAAAAACGTGGAACATGTGCATGTGGGAATCTGGCCCGGTAGATGTGAAAAATCTCAATTTCCTACGGAATGCCTTATACCTCCATTAGGATCCGGTGTTATATGGGATTTTACCGTCTATATTACTTCTTTGACCCATATATATGTATATATATATATCAATGTATGCAAATCTATAATTGTCCTCCTTAAAAAAATTAATGACTTGGAGTATTTCTTGATGTTAGTTTTGACAAACCACTTCTACATGACGAACGTGATTGGTATTACTGCTACAGCATGTTAGTATGTAACTGTAATAAAAAAAACACTTGAACATTTATTTTAGTCCATAGTAAGTTCTATTTAAACTGAAGAAAAACAATCACAGACTACATCTTTTGTATACGTCAGTATTGAATTGTTATTGTAGGAAGCATGTGAAGTTGGGCATACTTCCAATTTTTTTTTTATTGTACAAGGATATTAGAACGGGTTATTGTGTGTTACATGTCATTTGTTATGTTGTTAAGTCTTAATCATATATTTGAATAAAAAGTAATATGGAGGAGAATACTTCTACAGTCAAGACATACGATTCGGTATCAAAATTAAGCCCTCTCTTACAGAAAAAAAAATGAAATTGACAAGCATATGTGGTTAATACAGGTAAATCCTTATACAACTGTATTATCAACAAATATATTATTTGGTTTCAGGTTTTCAAATGCTTCTGACAAATACATGGAATTTGACAATAATGATGAATTAGGTAAGCGATTCATATGGGGAATTAATCAAATGTAGAAAATGCAAGCTGTATATTTACACAATATTGTTTTAGATGCATGTATAATATACATATTTGATGTTGTTGCCATAGCTGCGGTTGTATATTGATATATAACATACATTACAATATATATATGTGCGTTTGTCATAACTATAACTGATGTTAATCAAATCGAATTGACTGAATGCAACATTGATGTTACAGAATCATAATTCAGTTCACATGAATAAGCTAATGATACACAGTTATAGCGTGTTACACATCCAATTCACACATACATGTATATCTCTTATAAAGACACTGTACATGTGTAGCACATGTACACGTACAGGTGTAGTAACAATGTCCCGAATTAAAAAAAACTCTGAAGTTCTTTAAACGCATTACACGGAAGAGGTCATCAGAGACTTCTCTGTATAAAATAATGTAATTGTTACCTGAGAACTCCGCAATCTTTGAAGACTTTAAGAAGTTGTGTACAGCACCGAGAATAGATATACATATATGCGCGTGCAGTCAATGGAAGAATGTGAAACTTACCTGACGACTCCACAATCCACGAAAGGTTTAAACAGATGTAGATTACGACGATACCGAGAATAAACGTACGTCCAGCCATTCAGAGAAATATACAGTTCAGTACAGTACTAACCATCTGTTTGTATATGTAAGGTTTAATTCAAAACTGCATGGCATCACGTTCGAGAAAAAGATCTAGTGCTCCGACCGCATACACAGGACGTATAACGATCTACCAGGAAGTGTAAATATAAGGACAGCTCAGTATATGCTAGTGTGAAACCCCCTTTACATGTGTGTGACACATATACTCTTATGGCAACAGTGTGCGAGACAATTGATTCACGTACACAGGATGTGTTTAACCACTTTAGTCCAAGTATACGACTAGTGTTCATACTTTGCTTTACAAGTATATTATTACTGATATTTTTCTCTTAAACAATAAAATAAATAAAGGTGAATGTACTATCAACGTATAAAAAAGTACTAAGAAATGAAATCAATTGATTCGAAGTGCAGGAATTACACAAGTATTGACAACGCGAAGAAAGAGCATAAATTAAAACTTTGTGAATAGCACACCAGGTATAGGGTGAAGTGTGTGTTACACAGCAATGTCAGAGACAGTCTGTGTGAGTAGGTGTGTGTAGGTATGTGTGTACAGAGACAGTCTGTGTGAGAAGTTTTTGTGTAGGTATGTGTGTACAGAGACAGTCTGTGTGAGTAGGTGTGTGTAGATATGTGTGTACAGAGACAGTCTGTGTGAGTAGGTGTGTGTAGGTATGTGTGTACAGAGATAGTCTGTGTGAG